GAAAATGTCATAAACGTTTGCTGTCATGTCGCAAGATTCTTATGAAGAATTATTGATGTTTTTTGTAAATAAAGGACCATTGTAAGAAACTTATTTTTGTTATTTATTAGCATAATGTAAGAAATTAAATTTAAGAGATAAATTAATAAAAAGTACTTCCGTTTTATAGACGAAAAGTTTGGAAGGTTATTTTTATCTCTATTTGTTTAAAAAAATTCATATCAATCATGGAAAAAGGCCCTAAATTAGCTCATAATTTACCATAGATAATATAAAATAGGAGGTAGCATATTCCCTGTTATACATTGTTAAGGTAAAGCCTGGACCTGGAGACCACACAAAGAACTAAACGCAGCTGCGAACGTGCGCGCTACCCTGCCGCGCATGCGGGTCGTCCAAATGGCCCTCATGTACGAATACATTACTCAGGGCCGCATTTACCTACAAGCAAAACAAGCAGTTGCTTGGGGGCCCCCATTCACCAGGGGCCCCGCGTCTCGGAAAAATACGCATTAAATACATAAATAATGTATTTAATGTAAAAAAAATGTAACACAAGTAAAAATTTCTATAAAAAAATTATGTTTTCATTTGTGTCTGTACAGAAAGCACTTGTACTATAATACATTTTTATTTAATAAAGATGGAGCTATTTTTTTGGGGGGGGGGCAACACAATTTTGTGCTTGGGGCTCCGCACTACTAAATATCCGGCCCTGACATTTCTCCCTCTAAAAGTGAACAGAACACACGCCTCACTTTATACCACATAAGAAACAACTCGTGACTTCGGGATACGGATGCCTGGTGTAAAGCATCCCAGATGCATCGCTTCCGATTTATACACGATGGTAAAATGTATTGCAACCTAGCGAATGTTGCGTATCCTGTAAGCCTAGTACTTCCTTTATATCACAGTCTAAGAATTTCTGTTTTGGGGATCATAAATATTGTGCAGGCCTGGGGGGAGGGAGGGTAAATCTTTAACCAGCCGTAGCATACTTCAAAGATTTTGCGCTTTCTTTTAATTGTTCGAAGTCGTGATCGTTACCAAGCCCAAGATCTACTATGGAGAGGGAGATGAAATAACGCTACGGTATGTGTGTCAAAAATAATGCATGGAATTAGGGTAGTTTGTTTATAATCACAAGATATATTGCTTCATGTGTTAAGTTGTCACACGTCAATCATTGGAATGAAGTGGAATACCAGTAATTTAATTTATTTTATTCACTAGTCAGCCAAAAATATTTACAGATGATTGATTCAGAAATCAATACAATAGTACATTTGTTACATTATTTACACTTGCGGTTAACCCAATTGGACTCTTGCACTTTTTTGTTTACTTTGCGTGCTTCTTTTGGGATGTTCGCGGTGTCGCAGTGGATTACGTTGATAATTCCGGGCGCGTCAATTGCTACGAACATTATTCCCGTAAGTGTAGTACATGTTTTTTTTTCTCGCGGGAGATGGTGGCCATCTTCCCCCGCTGTCTAGCGAAGTCCGACGCGGATCTCGGTCAGCTTGCGGGGATTTTACCCAACCAGGTATCTCCCACCAACATGACACCGCCCGACTCTAAGCTCCCGACTGGTCTCCCGACACGTGTGGAATGTAGTGCATGTGAGAGTAAGTGTGTGTGTAAGTAAAGGGTGAGGTTATGACAAGGAAGGAGAAATCGTGCGAGGTTCAGGGCCCGTTTGTTAGAATACTGCACCGGCATTAGTCTGATGCCACGTTGAAGAAGCCACGGAGGACGACCGGTCAGAGCAGCCGGCCGCTAGAATTGCTCTGACATCGGCTGAATTCGACGTAGCTGGAAAGCTAGTGTCGAAAATCCTACCACCGCCGGGACTCGACTCGACCGGGGGAGACGGCTCAGTGCAGAAACTGATGACACTGAAATCCCTCTGATCGGCAGGACCTAGTTTCGAGGCCCGACGGTGTCAGAATTTTACTAAATGACACTAAAGCTAGTGTCAGCTAGAGACAAGTCAGCTTGGTCGAATTCAGTCTCTGTCTGGAGGGGAATTCTAGCGGTCGGCTTCTCTGATATGTAGTTTTCCGTGCTTTCTTCGATCAATACCAGGCGTATGCCGGAGCAGTACCCTAACAAACGGTCCATGGATCACGCGCGATCCTCTTCTTTGTCCTATCCTCACCCCTTACATACACTTCAGTACCGGCACCGGCCGAGCAAAAACATACACTACACTCACGGGACTAATAACCCCCCCCCCAAGTAGTTGACACTTCAATCAATCAATCGGGACTCCAATCCTAGTCCCTCCTGGTTGGAGACACTGCAGTTACATCAATTGATGCTCTAAGCCACCTTTGTTTTAAGTAGGTTTCAGGGGAATGGAAATATTATTTAATAATTCCATGCGGGTACGGTTTTTAATTCTTGGAAAGCATGAGTGTGTTTTCCCTAGCGGAATGGCTGTTATATTTGACACTGAAGGGAGGTGTAGGAAAAAGTTGCCGTTTAATAGTTGCATAATATCAAGGTTTGAATGCCAAAATCACGGTTAAGTTGATTATTTCGGATAAACCAGTAGGTGTTAATGTTTTGTCGGAGAAATTTATTTTCAAACGTTTAAAGGCGATTGAAATTAGTATGGGAAGCCTAAGGTGAAGTGCGGAGTATGATAATTTTGTATAGAACGGCGTTTGTGAGTTTGTGATGATCTATTTAGTAACGGATATAGTCGGATTGATTTTTCATAGACCTTATAAGAGTTGATGTGATAGGAGTGACAGAAGGGTTTTATTATTATTATTATTATTATTATTATTATTATCATTATTATCATTATCATTATTATTATTGTTATTTTATTGTGGATAATAATGTACTATTTATAAAGTTATAGACAATGACATGATTCCCTGTTATCTTACTTCGAAATGCCTTGTTTGTAGATTAGTCTTCCAGGTTAAATTCTCGGGATCGGGAATCTAAACAATACTTGTCAGATCAGCCGCGATTGCTCTACTAGTCGGCACAAAGATCAAGGTTATTGAAATGCGTAACCGTCGCCTTCGATCGAATCGTCTTATCCAGTCATGGCCATTTTCCAAAGGTCTAAAAATGGCATGGCAGATAGTAAACGATGCACCCTGAACTGTCAGCAGACATCAGAAGGACTACATGCTAAACGTACGTGTAGTAGCTTTGCATACTATTGCTGAAGTAACTCTACTATTACTGACCCCCCATCTCGATCAGGATTTCGTCCAGTTTTATTTAATTTGATTTGATTTGATTTATTCGGTCAAAAAAACAGTAAAAACTGTATGTGACGTAGGGGGGGAAATATTATCTGCGCACGTTTTCTTCAGTTCCAGAATCCCTTCCCGTCGTAATTTGAAAACGGTTTTAATTCCCTTCGTTCAATCCATATCGCTCAAGTTTAACAGACTTTCATGTACTTTCTGTGATGTACGTTGGAATTTGGTTCAAGATCATCTTATAACGAAAGAGAATTTAAGTGCCATGGAAGCTAAATACTATAATACAAATTAGCTCCCACTAAATCCTACATTGATTTACGATATTGCTATCTTTGGAAATGCCCATAGGCATGCGCAGTATAAAACAAATGGGAAGGACTACATTTCTTGGACCCCTTTTCCGTAAGATCATATCATTTTCTATTTTTTACAAATGACATATTTAACAAGTAAGTAAAGCAAGTTTTGAAGGCGAAAAAGAGCTAGGTAAAACTAAACTCAATAAGGATTACCATTAAAATAACAAGGTCAAGAAAATCAGCAGCACGTGTTAATAAATACAATTGATTTTATTTGAAGTTTTCAGGGTTGCAAGATTGCTTAGAGAGCTTCTTTCCCCAATTCTCCAAATTGTCACGTCAAAAAAGAGGAAAATTAGGGACTAAACATACCTACCGAAAGCGATTGTATCAGGGACTGAAATAAAATGTTTTATTACGTAAGACTGTGAGCCCCTTTCGAAATTTTTAAGGGGAAACTGCCCCCTTCCCTCTTTGCGCACGCTTATAGAAAATTACACAACTGCTGAAGACAATCCGACTAGGAAAGGAAGTAGAAAGTGTTTGCTGAAGAACCTGTCGGAGAAGGAGAGGTGAGTCAATAATGTAGTCGCATGTAGCAAAGAAACCTCAGACGTCGTCGACGCCCGAAGCACTTCCTACATTTCGTAAGAGTCCGTTTTTCTCGCAAGAACAAAATAATGCAACATAGAAATAGTTTAAATTAATATCAAATAAAATCCGTACTATTTGAATTCGCTTGGGCTTTCTCTTCGGAAAATGTTCACTCGAAATGAGTTTTGATTTCGTACACTGTAACGATGTGAAATTTTAATAGTGTTTCTATTAAAAACACTATTGACAAGTAAAAAGTGTCTTGTCGAATAATTTGTTTAATCTTCGATTTTGAAAGCCCTTTTACACTAAATTGTGCCAAAATGTAATTAAGCTTTTGATTTTTTTCCTTTGATCTTATCAAACGTGCTGTAGAAATCTCTAAAGGCAAGGAAGGTATATAGTTTTCTTGTGTTATTTCTTGGGGGGGAAATCCTCAGAAAAGTTGAGAATTCACGAGGATAGTAAAACGAAAATACGAAATAGATTTTCAGTGAATGCAAATTTTGATGTTTTAATTCATCGTTTGCACTGTCATCATTCGTGTGCGTTCCACAAGATTCCTTTAGTCCTATTGTGTTGTAAACCTACCTGCCTGCTAATGAATTTTCATAACACGGAATGACTATCAAAAATTATCTTCTCGTGTCCATTTCGTGTTGCCAACGTTAGAAATTGCAGTAGAGGATACTGAGAATATTAGAACCACATTTCGCTGAAATTTCCTCGACGGAAGCAAAACAATTTACACTCTAATAGTTTTGTTTCAATTAAGCTTTCTAGATTGTTTATATTTCGCATTCGTGATGGTTTCTTTTGTCATTATACAACTGTTGGTTGTCAACTCTGCTTCCTCCAAACGTTGCTTAGTACAGAAATTGGCCGTCAGAGGTTTGTCGTGGCAGTGGGGCGCGCACTGTGGGTTGCTCAGAATGGTGTTGGTCATTTGAGTGCCAAATTCTTTTAAAATTGGCTTTGTAAATTTATTTAAGTGGGGCATTTCCAAGTAACTTTTAGTAAAAAAGAAGACATTTAATTAAACTTTCCGCACGCACAACTTATACTGAAAGACAGCAAAGGCTTATAGCATAGCGGTATCGAGATATAGATTAGAGCTTTGACATTTAACATTTTATTTAAAGGAAGATATATTTACAAAGTATTGGAATAAAGAATGGCTTCTAAGTCGAGCAGCAAAGGAAGTCGTGAACCTGGTACCCTGGCGAAAACATATTTGTTCTTGTATAATTTCCTGCAAGTCATAGGGTGAGTGCTTAGTTTCAATTTTATGTAGTATTAAAAGGAAAATTGGCTTTGTTTGAATTTAGACAGCAACAAAAGTGTGATGCTGGTTGTAACTTGAATTTTAATATCTAGATAATACTATCAAATAACAGTCAAGTTGTATCTGAGTGAATTTTTATTTGTAAAATTTGTAATTGTCATTAACTTAAAACATTTAGATTAACTTCATGTTATAATTCTGATTTAAGAACATTGTGTTTACAGGTGGTCCTATCTTCTCCTCCTTCTCATTAAACATTATACTTCTCCAAAGAAAGAATCTTTGTGGGAAACTGTGAAATTAACAGTTATAATATTTCAAAATGCTGCTGTCCTAGAGGTTGGTTTTAGTTTTCAGATTAATACATTAAGTATAAAGGTCAGAGCAGAAAACTAAATTTATAGAATTGAGATAGGTTACTAATCAAAACTTCTCAATTGTGAATCATTTCAAATCTTCATGCAATTCTTTGTACACAAGACCCCAATTTAAAAAATGTGATAAATATGGTAACATATACAATATTTTGAAATGCATCAGTATTTTTTTAAGTTACGTTACAGTTAATTCATAAATATGTATGTGTAATATAAGCATGAATAATTTAAATCTGAAAATTATATAGTTATTCAAACCTGATTTGTTTTTATATTTTATGTTATTTACTCATTCGAAAAGTTATTTAATAAGTTATTTAAAATATAATTTAAATGAAAATTGGATTAAATATTTTTTTTCAGATTTTACATGCAGCATTTCGTCTAGTATCATCAAATGTTGTTATCACTACTTTCCAAGTGTTTTCTCGGGTAATGGTTGTGTGTGGAGTATTACTTGCTACACCTACTGGAGCTGCTAGCCCAGGCCTTGGCTTAGCATTGCTTGCTTGGTCTGTTACTGAAATCATCCGTTACATGTTTTATGCCCTTAATATTGTAGGGTTTGTTCCATACCTTCTTGTTTGGTTAAGGTAAGATATGAATTCAGTATGTTTCTCTTCAATACAAATTCTAAAATTTGTTTGTTCCTGATTTTATTTGTTAGTCTTGTAATATGTTATTAAGCTTTCTATGAAATGTCGGCGAGATAGTAATAACAATCCTCGACCTCTGTAATTTGTTGATGTCAACATTAACAGACAAATTGATGTATGCTTTAGTACTTATTCCCAGGATTTCTGACTAGTAAGTTTAGTAGTAGTCTTAAAATAGTGTAGGAACTGAACATCCACGCATGTTTTTGGCTGCTACTAAGATTGGTGTGTTGAAAATACTTTGGAAGAGCTTCATAATGGAGCTCAGAAACATTTTAAAATTTGTAGTGTATAATTATTACACACTATATATAACTATTAGTATGTTGAGGTTTTGGAAACAGTTGGTGTCTAATAGAGGAATTGTTTCAGCGTATCCTTCAGTGAATTTTAAAGACCAATTATTCTTGAAGTTTGTGAGTCTCCATACCCATTTCATGGACCTAAAAACCTATTCAAGATAATATAAAAATTATAACTATGGTACCTCTTTCAATTCTGGAGTAATTGGTGTATCTTCTAAGATGAAAAAGTGACTGTGAATTATCATAATTTTTATTAAATGTGTTGAACTATCTGGATTAATTTTAGTTTTCACCTGAGAAGACTTATCACTTTAAAGTAATACAAGGCATTTCATGTACAACTACTGAATATTTCCTTTCTTTCATGAAGTATTGTTTCATTTTAATTTCTGCAATGTCTGTCAATGACATATCTTAAAACTATTGATAGCGCCCATAATTTAATAACAATTGTTTTGAGCTTTAGAATTACTTGAATATTAATTGTAATGACCCTTCTGTACCCAGGTTTCAGTGAGAAATAAGTACTTCTTTTTCTCTCACTGAGAGATAAGCATACACAAAAAACCTTATTCATTACATAAACAGAAATACAGTCTTAGTCGTAGCCAAAAGATCTACTTACTTACTCCTTCCCCTCTTCTTTTTCTCTTCCTTTTCTTCGTTTACTCCTTAATCTTCTCTGCCTCTTTCTCTTCATCTACTCCTTTCCTTTCCATCTACTTGTGCTCCTTTGCATCCCTGCTAATAATAATGTTGCATGATAATAGCAGGAGTCCATGTTCATGCAGAATTCTGACACATGTAAACATCAAGCAGGTTGCCTTTTCGAACAATTTATATACCACAACAATTTGCAGGGCTCAGCAAAATTTTTCGATACGAGCAGTATTTAACATTACACACCAAAATGTATGTATGTGTATATATGTATATGTATGTATGTGTATGTATGTATGTATATATATATATATATAAAAATTAAAATATGACAGCTGGTGAAATTAACGAATCTAAGTTTTGTCTTGAAGGAGGCTTAACTTCATTTAGGATTTACCTCTCTACAGGCTCTGGTTGTCTTTACTCTGGAGGTTTATTTTATTTAATTTCCTAAAAGATTCCTAAAGAATTATTTTAGAAGCTCAGTAATTCTTATACACAGCTCACTCAACTCCTGTGCATGTCCTTTCTATTTTTTACCAGTCTTATGAAAGAGAAAGTTTCAACTCAATGTATTTGAGAAATGTTTAGGTATCTATCTCGTATAATCTGTATGTGTGATCAATTTGACTTACAGGTACACTACGTTTATAGCCCTCTACCCTATAGGTGTAACTGGAGAACTACTTTGTTTATATGCAGCGCAATCCTATGTGGCAACCAATCATATGTGGAGTGTCGGAATGCCAAATTTCCTAAACTTCACATTCAGCTACCATTATTTCTTGCTTATTGTCATGGGTCTTTATGTTCCCTGTAAGTTGAATATTTTTTGTTTCAAAGAATGATTGTAAGAGTTATAACATTCCACTTTTTTAATTTGCAATTTTCCTTTTCTTTTTTTTTTTTTTTTTTTTTTAACATTTTTTTCAGTATTTCCTCAAATGTACCTCCATATGTTTGCTCAAAGAAGAAAAGTTTTGGGAGGTGATGGTACTAGTTCAAAGAAGAAGCAATGAAATGAGAGACTGACTAAACTGTCCAGTGTACAAAATTTGTATAAGTGGAACATAGTTAAATTGTTGTGATTTCTATGTTTTTCCATGTTGAAAGTATTTTGGCCTGCTACCTTTTTCTCTCCCCCCCTCGTGTCTTTGTTCACCACAGTTGAGTATTTTTTTAATGAACTTGGTGTTTTAAAGTTAGTTCATATTATGGAATTAATTAAAAATGTTTGACTGCTATTAATTATTTACATTACTTGTTCCTAGGAAATGTGCAATATTGCTTAATTTTTATCTATTTCTTGCAACAACTATTGTTATTTAATAACAACATTTTAGCAACTATTTGCTTTGAATTACAACTAGGTGCTTGTAACACCCATCTGGAAAACCAGAACTAATATCAGATCAACTTGTTTTGTTCTTCAGAGAAAGGTTGGAACATTAGTGTAATAAGAATTTTTAAGTCCGGTATTATGGAATTTTAATGGATAGCAAAATTGAAGATGATTTTTTAGAAAACCATAAACCTCTCAAAAGTATTTGAAATATCAGTCTTTACATAGTAATGTTATAATCCGCTCTTGCTCCCTTGTTAGTGAAATTCATCATATGGATTTTGAATTAGCTATTATTATAAGGATTTGTTTAATTATTTAAAGATATATTTATACTGCTTTACAAACAGTGTACAGGTGCATCAAGTAGCATAATAAAGAAAGTCAAACACTAATTCATCAGGGATATATTCTAATCAAGTTTGACTGTAAGTTGATAAGTTTGACCGTCCTCTGTCCACTTGTGAGCTCAATTTAAGACTGGAATATATGGAGGAGAGAGTCGTTTCATTTTCTTGAACTAAAAATTGCAATGTTTAGATAAATGTTGAGAAAAAGTATTCATAAGATTAGGTAAAAAATCAATTACCGATATTTTAAATGAAACTGTTAAATGACCAGTGAATACCATTTCTTTGCCACAGCACTTTCAATCATTCTGGTAGTGTTGTTTTTTAAAAGAAAAGTTGAACAGTTCAGAAGATTTTATGAAAATTAATTGTAGTTGTAGTACACAGAGGTGTAATGCAGGAAGAATATCATTGACTTAGTCTTGATGTTACAACTTAAGGTTGGTGGAAATGAGCTTTATGAAAGAGACTTTTAAGCAAAATCTTGAATCTCAAAAATTTTAAATCATATCTCTTTGTAAAAAATGTACCATCTTTCGTGTACAAATGATGAGCAGCTTCAAAAATTGTATTGTAGGAGTGATCAATGTGTTTTACACATGACATGTTGAAATAATTGTGTGTAATGTGTAAATTCTGTATTGAAACAAAAGGAACTGAATGCACACATTCTACAGTGCCTTTATCAAATAACGACAAATGACTGTTGGCAGCACATGTGACAAACATTTTTGAATATGAAAGTCAACCAGTGTGTAGGTTGTGAATGTTTGTGAATTTTCATAATACGATGTGATCTACCAAATTATGGTTTAAAAACTCCTCTGTTCAATATGCATAATATATTTTAACAATATTGGAAAGGGTTTCAGTTCCCAGCCATTATTTTGGTTGAAAAGAGCTTAATTTTCCAATGGTGGTAATATGAACTCATATAACACTTGGTGATAGACCTTTGGATTAAATATATTTTAAGCACATAGCAGTTCCCTGAACATTGATCTACAATATGTTTTTATTTGTAATTTGTATGGGGTTAATTGGTGTTAAGTATAGTGTAATGAACTGTGGATGAGGGTAGAGAAACAAATTTTCAGTATATGTTCTAAAGTGGAATGTGTTTTATCACAACCAACAATTTTGGTTCGCTATATCCAATATGCCAAAATAAAATAATTTCTTGGTAAAACACAGGTACAGATTTATGTACGTAATTTGTGCAGAGCCTTCTAGAGAGTCAATGCTATCTCTCTACATTTATTTCTATATTATCCATATTCAAAACATCTTAGTGCAGTCTTTGTATTCTCAAATGACCCTTTTGGGGTTTGAAAAACTTTCTTCATTTTCTTCTGTTCTGGCAAACATCATCAAAACATGATATTGTAGCCAGACAAGATTTTTATTGTAGTCTGTGTCGATGAAGTCTACAGGATTGACAGAATTGCCTTAGACGAGCTAAAACTAATTCCTTGTTTCCTTTCATTTACTGCAAATGCAACACAAATAGTGCATGAGATTCTTTGCATGCAAACCTTTTGGGTATTGGAATTTGTAATATTGAGGTGAAGTTTGTAAGTTTAACTATTTCCTGTTCATTAAATCAGATGTGATGAGTTCACTATAACTGAATCTAGTATTGATTTGTAACATACGTGAATTGGAATCTGTGACTTTGGTCCACAATAACCACAAGTTCACTAGTTCATTCTACCATTCTAACTATACTATAACATTTCAATTGATCATGTAAAATTGTAATCCTTATCATTAGTACTTACTGTAACAAAGAATTTCAGCATAGAATAGAATATTTCTCATGAATATAACACAAAAGATGTCAAGAAGGCTGTAACAGATTGTAGTTAGCAATTAACGTGCAACAAAACTGATAACCAGAGTTTTGAAATTTCTTTCCAAGCAATGGAACTTCCTTCATTAGGCTAATAACCGTTTCAGAAAAAAAATTACTTTTAATTTCTTTGCCTTTATTACTTTCTCATATACGAAAATTTAGAGAACTTAATGTTTGTTAGTTTTTGTTTTTTTTCTCTTACTCTCTCTCCATATAATCTGTCCATGTAAAACACCTACGCCTAAATTATTTGTAGGATTTTCTCCAAAGTGAATATTCCCTTGTCAATCTGGCCTGACTTACAGCTCAGCAATTTTTAAAACATCTTTTGAATTTTGCAGGTACTTGACTTGAAGTCCCTAAGACATTTAAAAAAATTTCTGAAACATGTCTCCAAATTTTTCCTAAGAATAAAGAAATACACATAAATATGGCCCAAGTCCAGTTTTCAGTGTTAACACTGAATATTCAGAAATTTCAACTGTGCATTTTTTCAGCGTCTTCCTACAATTACAATATTGAAGAGAGCGAATTTTCTTCAAATGAAATTTGCTCTCCACAATTCTTTCATCAATGTCATGTACAATTTTGTGAAAATTTTAGTAGTTTTATAGTACGTTCGAGTGAAATAGGTAATATTAAAAGATATTAAATTGTTCTCAAAAAATGGCTACAAATTTTTTGTTTTAACTTTTTGTAGGGATAGTGCTAATTGTACTGTAAATTCTTTTCCCTGTATTCTTTTGTTTCTTCAAAAAATAACCAAATGTAATTTTTTTAATATTGCTCTCATGTTGTTTATATTTGCATTACTGCTGGTTTGTACCAATTATTGTATTTGAAATTGCAAGAGGATTAAATGATGACATATAATTGTCGAAATCTCAGAATGTTTCCTGTGAAAATGAGCTCCTAATTGAGCATTTTCGGAAACTCTAAACACCATTTTCTCGAAATCATCACCAAATTTTTTCTTCATTTCTTTTTTCTATAGATTGTACTAAATCCACTGTATAAGATATCACCATTTTGCTTCTTTTTTTTCTTTTAAAAAATTACACATGCATCTTTGAAAAAATTTTTAGTGTCATTAGTATTTATATTATGTGCATTGGCTATACATTATCGTACATGTGAGTACAATTGTATCAAATTATTTCTCGTAAAGTTTTACAGAAACTCAAAACTTTTTGATGAAATAAGCTTTTAAATGCACATTTTTATATATGCCCAAATAGCATTTTCTTTTTTAAAATAGGTTCCAAAGTTTTCGACGGAAATTGTATTCATCTATAATATTCTTAATGTTCTATCTCAATTTTACCATTATGGGATTGAAAATTTTAAACAAATGTGAAAAAATGCCTGTAGATGCAAATAGATGGCAGTTGAGAAGAGGTTGGGGCGGGGCAAGTGAAAAGATTGCTCAAACTGAACAGATAAGGAAATTAACTAGTATGAGAAAGTGTGTGCAAATATGCAACACTAGTTTTTCTTCTTGCATTCGATAGCCAGTTTTGTAGCATGCCAAAATTATTTTTCCAAAACAATTGTGTGCAGCACAGTACTAATGTTAAGTGATGCATGATGAACACTTCTTGAACATGTTTAAGAATTACTGCCCAACTGTGATAATAAGCTCAATTAAATACTAAATGGATATTTAAGTATGTTAAATTATTCTCATCTGAAGAAATTCAGAAAAACATTCCAATATTTAGTAATATCTTTTGCCTAGTTTCTACCAATTTTCTAAACAAATTTGAAGACTTGTAGCTTAAGTTGATATGTTGTGTTTTGTGGTATATGTACTAGAAGCTAATCATGTAGCATTTTTTTTATGTACTGTTTAATGTAATTAAAGAATGGTTTTGTTCTATTTATTGAATTTCTGTGAAAGCATGTTACATCTACAAGTGAGGAACTTGTTTCCAAAAGGAATCGGATCTAAGAGGTCAAATTTTACAGTGCAGCAATAAAACTTACTGTAGGTAAAAATATTTTTTGTAATAAATCTACATTTTGTTTAGAGTTATAAGGATTTTAACTTAGGATTTGGTATGTTTTGGTATAAAAGGTTGAGAATAGATATAATTATGGCCAAATAATAATAAAGATGTTTTTAATAATAGTTGTTAACCTCTTCACTGAACATATTTAAATTATTTAAAAAATTTTGAATCTTAGCATTATATAGGTGTTATCTTCATTCATCTTAATATGCATCAAATTTTATCAAAATCTTCATTAACATTATTTTCTTCTACAGCTTTGCTACGATTTGTCATGAAACAAAAATAACGTCGTGAACTTTCTAAGAAAAATCAGGTGTTTAGATTGAAGCACACAGAAAATGTGTGCTGCCATTTAGTTCAATTTTTGAAAATTATGGATTTTGCACCTTTTGGAAACAAACCCCTCGATTAGAGTTTATAGTTCAATGTAGCAGGATCATTCACAGCTTCATTACAATACTGGCCACTGCAGTTTCCTGTCTAAAACCATTTCCCAAAATAGAAAAAACATTTGAAATATAAGTACCTTGTAAGGCTACCCAAGATTTAATCTCTAGTGTGTTCTGATTAACCACAACGCTAAGGAAATAATTAATTTCTAATGAAATCAAGGCAGTACTTACATTTAATAAATTTATTTTGTTCAGGAACTTTGGGAGTGTGTTAAAGAAATGTCAAAAAATTGAAAAATACCTTTATCCCTTCAGAACAGAAGTTTCAGAAATATTAAATAAGCTTTTTCCATAAAGAAAATGTTAATGATCAAAAAACCGAGGCTGCTATCACTGAGAAGCAAAAGCTGTTTTACGAACTCAATGTTTAATGTGTTGTGGAGAAAAAAAACACACTCAAAATATTTTTCTGAATGAAATTTAATCTACATATCGGAGTCATAGTGGCATATTAATTATTTTTTTAATATAAAAATTTTTACCATTCCTCTGAAACATGCATGATTAACTGTAATTAGCAATATTTAAATACATGAATCCACTTTGTTTCCAATGGTTAAAAAATAAAATTTGAATTCATTAAATTTTGAAAAAGTTTTAAAAACATTTAGTAATGTAGTAACAATTTAATAAATTTAGACATGAAATGATGGGGCATATCATTGGTTTAAGGTCATGATTTTTTTTATTTTATCAGTAACAGAAATGTACAAGAAAAAACAAATGTTTGGGAAACTGGCTTTTTTAAAGTGGATCATTTTTACCCCACAGTATCAGCCAAATTCAACCTTATTTTCTTGAACAGTATGTCCCTCAGCTTAGGGATTGAAATTCCAGGAAAAAATATTGTATTTAAAAAAAAAAAAATTAGGTTCCAAATCATTTTTTTTAATTTTCATTGTCAGCAAGTCCTCAAAATTGCTGGTTGGATATCAAAATAAAAATGTGAACATTATGGGGGAAAAACAAAATTTTTGAAAAGATTGATACGAGTGCTGAAAGTGGCCCATTATTTGGCAAGTAGAAACATTGCAACACTAGCCCAAATGGCACATTCAAATGAGCAAACTTGCCTTCACTACATATCACACTTATGAGTATAGTTAATGATCAGTTACAGCTGATGGACTGGGCATTTGTATTTTTCTTAGTTGCATTCAGCTTTATTAGATTGAAGACAAGTCTCGCTTACTGCACTAGTGCTAACAATTGAATTTTAAGTATGTGAAAATCCTCTAAGTACTGTGCATGCTCCAAGAGGAACTGCTATTACTCAAGGTTGTCAAAACCATTGAAACTCTCCCCCCTACACTCTTGATGTTCACAAAACAATAACTTAAGAAAAATATGATCTTTGTAGCTTTTGGTATACCACATGTTAGCAATCGCATAGAGCATTATTTTTAATACACTTTTACACCACAAAATCCATAAAAATATTTCACAGGTCTGAATGAAGTGCCACCATACAGCATACTAAATTTGATCTTGAGGTTATTGAATCATAAGTATTTCTTAACAATTTACTTCCACTAGGCAAAGTTCTTAAATATTGCAGTTGCATCTACTAATGCAATGAACACTTCTATTTCACAAACACAAAATTGAATTAACCAAAATGGAATGGGAATAAAGGCAATGGTGTGTAATAGAGAAAAGACTATTCAAATACACAGAAAGAATGTATTAAATCAATTTTACAAGAATTTTACTGGGGATCACCAGTTGGCATTGATCTAATTATATCTGAATCACCAGGATCAGTAATTGATAAGGTACACACTCTGAAGTATTTTCCACATGCTGTTCCAAGTTCAATGTTGTTTCCAGTGTAGTGATGTACTCCAGTCTTCGCCAGCATTGCATAATATTCAATTTCTGATTTCCTGAAATTTGATTAATACATCAAATAATTTTTCACACACGTGTACATGCAGAGCATCCCACTCAACTTACGTGACTTCGAATATACAACGAAAGAATACACTGCCATAGAACAAATTTGAAGCAGAGCATTCTTAAGAGACTACTCCATAGCATTCCCTTAAGAGAACTCACCCCTTCCAATTAATGGCAAAAACTATTCACATACATTTTAAAATGTTTTGTATGAGAATAGTTATTGTATTAGTCAATTTCAAAACTTAAAAGGGAATACTACTTCTCAGTCTCACCTCAGGGGAGGGGTATTGTTGGCGATGATCACGAGTTTCGCCTTGCCCTGCCTCAACGTTTTTAGTGTCTGCTTGAGCCCCAGAACATACTTCCCGGACTTCATAACAAGTGCAAGCCGGGAGTTGATGCTCTCCATAGCTTTTTTCTACAATTAAAAATATTAATACGCACATTAGGTAAAGGTACAACGCAAAGTTTAATACAAATGCATCACGACCACGTGTCCTATATTTTCCTTACCTGCTTCTTTTGAGTCACCATTTTGAGGACTTTAATTAAAACTGAAACAAAACAAGAGGATTATCCAACACTTGACTAATTAATAAAATAAATATTTTCAACACAAAAATCCAAGATTCCTGCCTAGCTCACCTCGCACACGAAGGACCGCACCACACGACGGAAACCGAAGAAGCTGCAAAGAACTCCTAACACGCAGCAAACTATTCTGAATGGACGGAAGCGCGGAACGTCTATAAAACACAATATCGTCGATGTTTATTCTTTGAAGCTTATGCATTAGACTTTAAAACAATACTTCAATTATTTGAAACTAATTTCGCAGAACATATGTCTTGTAAATAAAAAAATAGATGCTACTGAAAAAGAAGACCTAATTCTAATTATTAAAAGATAAGACCATATAATATTTTCGTAGAACGAAAATGGCGACAATCAGCTACTGCGCTCTACGATCCAATGTTATGACGTATCCAAATATTACTACGCATGCGCTCTCGCCAAACTTCCCGGAGTTGGGTGCAGCCGCCATTGTTTCTTGATGAAGTGATTTGTGCTTGAAGTTTTATATTATTTTAGCCAGTTCTTTGTATATTTGTGCTAAAAGGACTACTCACACCTGACTTATATATTATTGACTTTTTGGTTTAAAAGACTTTGAATCAAGAAGGTAGCAGAGTGCAGGAATTAGGTGATGTCAGCAGGCGTGTCAGACCAGGTAAAGAAAGAATTTGTCTTGGGCGTAGTTGTGTAAGTGCCGTTTTCTCGATAAAAACGCTCCGTCAAACACATCACTCATCGTATACCTTTATTCCTTATTTTTCATGGAATCGTGACGATGGCAATGCAGCGGATGAAAGGACAAGGGAATCAAGGTAAGTTAACCATTTCTGTGTGTTGAGGCTGTCAAGTCATTTTATCAGCTACAGTAGGTGCGTGACGAGTTAGCGAAATATTTCGCTTTGGACAAACTTTTATGTTTACTAGACGTAGAGGTAAATCATGGACGAGAAGCTAGCTGTAATGTTTAGCGTAGTTTCAATGCTCTGTTAAAGATATAAGAATAGTTACTTAGATGAAAATTACTATGACATTATTTTCAATAGTGGATTTCGATCTTGTAATAAAGTCCTGACAATTGTCAAATATTCATTCTAATATCTTCACAAAATCAGTAATGAACATAATATAAATAATTTCCATTACATTGATACATTTTGTTGTGCCTCTTTGTAGTTAAATTCTTTGTTACAAAGAACTGACAATATGTGTAAAATTTCAGTTTCAAATGGCCCCAAGGACCACGTAAATGAACATGAAGACTTTGATTCATGGAGGACACAGCATCACCAGGTGAGACCTTTTTGTTTACATTGTAATAGTCATTGAAAACAGGTGTGAACAGGGTGCTGATAGTTGGAAATTATGGAAAACTTATCAACTATCTTGTTTTGTTCTTGTTGAAACTAATGCCTTTTCTTCAGTTTTCTTCTGCTGTTAACTTGAAATTTATATATTTGTCCTCATTAGTTCAAAGTTTAGTAACATCTGTAGTGTAAATTAGAAAGTAAGTAGTTAATTTGTTGGCATACTTATCTATAGTTGCTGTGCGATTAAAATTGTTAATCGGTCTTACAGAAATTTTATGATTCTTTTGTTGTAATTGGGCTTGTGAGATAACTGATGCACGAATGACCTTATCTTTTTGTACAACTTAAATTTCCTCTTTCATCTTTTGTGTTTAGAAATCAGTTAGTCCATAGCAATACATGTAGGAGCTTTTTATTGCAGAGTAATAAAGATTGCTTGAAAGATTTAATAATGTGGTTAACCAAATGCTTTCAATCTTAAAATCTTGTTAGAATAAGAGAAGTAAATTCATGAAAAATATGCTATTGAACATTAAAAACAAAGGCTTATCCTTATCTCTTGGTGCATTCATGTGTAAATTTTGTTTCAAAATGATATTTCCTTTTGTGGAACATGCCAATCTTGTTCCCAGTTTTGTGGCAATATGCAGTTCCTCCCCATTACTGTGAAACGTTTTTATTTTAAAAGGTATATTTTGTTACTTTCATATGGAGGTGTCCTTATTAAATTTTTCTTTAAGTTGACTTCATTTACGATTACAGATTTGTTTTTAAATTCGCAATATTCCAGAAACTTATTTATTTGAAATTTAAGGAAATAAATCAAAACATGAACTTGTTTTTACACATAATGTTTTATTTGCAATGTAATTGATTCCCATAAATGAAGTGGAATTTCATGTCTCTACTGAACTTAAGCCAGAATTATTGGACATACATATATACATACATGGGTTTATTGCTACTTAGATAAGTAACTGATGATTGGTAGGAACATCCATTAAAATTTCATTAAATTGTATCCATAAAGGCATCAAAACTACTAAATTTAATTGTTGGTATTCTGGGAAAGTTATAGTGTCTATGAATTATTAGGGAAGTGTGTATCCCATCCTCACAGGAAAACCAAATTTTTCCATGTAGTTAATCCAGAATTTTTTGCTAGAAAATCGGTGAAGATATTTCCATTGACTACGCTTTCTGACAATTGACAAAATGTACTATATTGCTTCATCTTTTCAAGTATGACATTTGTATAATGTTAGTTGTTCAATAGATTAAAAGCTTGGAACCAAAACATAGCTGTAATTATATAATTATCCCCGATTTTAAATATTCCTCCTTCACCAGGCTCTGTAACACAGCATAACACATCTGCACTGCCCTTTGTTTGGGGTTAATATTTGGGGGGTGTAATTGTTTAATTCAAACTTTTGTGCTGAACTAATGATAATTAAATATTATGAAGGCAAATATGGAAAAATATTAAAAGGCAAATTTTTTACCATATGCAAACCCCCATTTCGTGTGTTAAGTATTCGGAGCATAGAAGACAATTTGTTAAAATGAAGTGTGTGTAATTAAGTGCATACTATTAGAGGCATAGGTCTGAATTACTCTTGCAAGATTCATAGAGAAGTTTTCCTAGTTCAATATTATTAATTTCATCAGTGTATGACTGAATCAAGTATTTCTCAAATGATGCTAAATTCATTGTTGTTTATGTAACAAAAACATTGAAATATCATGCTGGGTGCTTACTAAAATTTTAATTGTACAAAATAAGGATACGCCACTTGGTACCGTGTGGAAAAGGACGGGTATAAATTATGAGGGAGGGCAAATGCACTCTAAAATTGTACTTAAAAACGCAGCATACTTGTAGATCAGAATTTTGAAACATAAGTAGCGTCTCCTATGTAGAGTTTTGTAATTCTGTGTTTGTGAATAAATCGTTGGTGAAATAATTAATAACACTTGTAATGTAACTCTCTATTCGACGTGTGCTGGAACCGTTACATAGACAGATTGGCGCTTTGAGCATGGATGTAGCGGTTCAAGTTAGCGATGTAGGAGTTCGAAGCCGGTGATTTTCTTCTGTTTCCAAAGGACACTGTCCATTTTCAAATTTAATTTCTCAATGCAAGAACCAAGTCAGCTTGTAAAATTTACGTGTTTCATGTATTCTTTGAAAACTGAAATCAGTTTCTGGAAAACGAACAAGGATCAGGATAGGTTCAATCTAACAATAAGAATCAGTAGTCAAGATGTGCGACATGGTTCTAGAGTAGTAGTATACGGGATTTATAAAATGTTTTACTAGTAATCCTAAAGTAAATAGATAAATTTAACACGCGTTGAATGCTGTCTAATGGGTGAAGATGAGAGTTGTACCACCCTCTCCAATTCCTATTTGTCTACCTTCGCTCACACATTTATTTCCAAGTCGACGCGAGACTAAACTACGTTCTCGTTTAACATAAAACATGCGCGACTCAAGTATCCAATTTTTTTGACTTCAAAATACTGGTACAGCTTATCTTGACCCCCCTTGCGTTTGTGTTCTACACAACATAATCATTTCCGTTTATCAACGAGCTTCACTTTTCTGTTTTTCGTTTTCAAAAGAACACTTGCGTGGGTATGGGGACCTAGGAAACGGCAGCGGAGTGACGTGGCGGAGGTGAGGCGGGAAATCCGATAGGGCCTGCGGCAACGGGAGCCTGGCCGGCGCGCCGCGGCGCAGCTATCGGCCCGGCTGCCTGCTCCTCAGTCTGCCGGCGCCGCCGCCGCCGCCGCCGCCGCGGCGGCCGTCTCTCCCCTCCCTCTCTGCGTCCGTGGTTCGCCGCGCGGTGTTTACGGCGATGGCGAGGGCGCCGTCGTGGGTTACGTCGCGTCGCCGGACCGGTCGGCTGCCGGGCCGTCTTATCGCTGGCGATAACATCGCCGGCCGCCGCGTGTCTGACCGCTTCGGCAGATTTCGTTCGTCGGACGTGCCTTCTTGAACGGCGGAGGCTTGCTGTAATTGAATGTAGGGCATTGTTCGTGCGAACTGAACACAAAATAAAGAATGCGTTTTGAAGAGTAATAGTCTTCGTTGCTGATAAACGTTCGATTAAAAAAAACAACTTTGAATTCGTAACGTTTTTTTGGGGACGATTCCAAAAGCAGTTGTTTCAATTACTATGATCATTTTTCCGCTGGAGATTAGAGCAATGGATACATTAGCTCATCGGGGACACCCAAAAGCGTAAGAAAGTGACTGGAATAATTGCATTGGGAACGAAAACATTGGAAGTACAGAGACGTTGCAGCCTTAATACCGTGGCAAGAGTGGTGATAATATTGGATGTGAATGACTTGTTCCTTTGCTCGGGAAAGAGACTGAAGGACAGGTACTTTGACCACTGGTGGAGGTTGGTCTTGTCTCGCGCGGATGGAGAGGGGGTGGGGGTGGACGTCGGCGGCGCTTCCTGGAGTCGCTGGTCGCCGCCGTCTCTCGGCGAGTCCACTGGGTGTAGGGGAGGGGAGGGCCCTGCGGCTGGAAAGAACCCCCCTTCCTAGGCAGCTCCGAGAATAACCGGAAGCTATGGACACGTGAATGTATTGCAGGATGGGAGCCCAATTTTATCCCCCACTCCACGCTTGATCTTATTTTTACTATATTTTTGAAAACATTAAGATTTTGAAAAATTCTTAAATTTGTGTTAATTTTTCAACTTAACTTTGCTTTATAAGCACAGAATATTGTCATTGAGAACTGTTTATTGTATTCTTGAATAAATATTTACAATGACACTTTATTCGTTTACTTTTTATGATTGAGTTCAATGATGTAATTGATAGTTTGAGCCAATCAACCCAAGCCTAAGAAAATGAAGCTATGGTTGTAGCTTGAAGTTCGGAGGCATGCCTCCTCCCATTCTTATTGTGAGAGGATATGAAACATTTCGAATTACGTTGACGGTTTGAAAACAAAAACGAAGTATGGAAAATTTGTGGATGTGGATATTCTGTAGAAAGTATTCATTTACCTTTCATTTTTGTATATGTACACTAAATACTAATTCGTAATCCGTACGTGTTGTGTATGTTGCTAAGTTGCAACTCCATGTATTTAATTTCTTCTGGAATATTGAAAACAAAATGTATCCATCTTTTCTATACCAGAGTTCCACACAAGTTCTATCGAAAAATTATTACGACTCGCATGGTGAAGTGATGCCCACTTGCTGCATAAATATCATAATCATAAAAATATGTAAATGAGGAATGATAATATTGTGGGAGTTTTCTTGGCCACTTATTTCACATTAACGTTTTGTTATATATAGTCAGTGGATGATGAGAACTCGGCCAGCCTCACACTCTCCTTACAAACCACTTTGGCGTGACGGCTGTAGGCATTGTGAATAGTGGTTCCTCTAGTTGAGTCAAAGGAACAATATTTTCAACAAAAATGATCCCTTTTGTTTATTGAAAATTTCGGCTTGAATGGGAGTGATCATAATTCGAGATCAACAATTTTTTAATATTCGTTTTATGATCGTTAGGTTGTGGGGATCTGATAATTGCGATCTCCATTTGTCTTGTGTTGATGTAACTAAGTTCGAAGGGGCGTCAGTGACAGATAACATTACAGAGATCAAGTTTTGTTGAGAAAAGAGCTGCCTAAATAGAGAACGTTATATAAATGTTAGAACTGCATATTTTAGCAAGGTTTGTCATGTAATGGGCATTTATCTACCACGTGAAAGGCATTGAACAAATATTCTTTTATGGGGATCGTCATCGAATGATCGATGAATGTTTGTTATGAAATGACAGTAATGTTGGAGTTCCAGTAGTGTGTTGTGCAGAAGCAGGTGCCCTTTAACACGCACCGGAAGATCAGACGTTCCCTTTTAGGTTCTTCCGTCGTGTCCACGGTCATGGACGATGCAGTAATCACTTTCTTGCAGTTTTAAAGACAACGATAAATAATGGTTTGTTGCTTAGTTTTACTGTCATTTTAATGTA